TTTTTTTTTTCGCTTTTAGCAAGGAATAAGAAATATTAGTAAAAACATATTTGGTTCTGATACTTATTTAGATTTTTCACCTCAAGAGTTGATTTGCAAAGTTTTACTCGACACAAATAAAATAGTGTAGCATTTCTACCGCTAGCATTAACTGTGAAAAACTATTTAACAAAACTTTTATCTGTCAGTAAAACCGAGAAAGCAACCAGGTGTCAAAAGAACTTCATTCTTGTCTTTTGCAAAAAATTTTACCTAAAAATTATTTAATTATAAAAATTAAAATTTTTTTTTTTATAAATTAATTTTTTCTAAATTGAAGAAAAAAGAAGCAAAAGACTATAATTGTTTACTAGCACTAAAATTCTCATTTTTGATGATTTAGAAAATTTGATGTAAACAAAAAGCAGTTTATTGGCGTACAAAGAGAAAACTGTAGTAGATTTATTACATTCAGGTAAAATCAACAAACAAAATGTATTTAGATATAGCTAAATTTTGCTTGATTATTCTTTAACAATTCTAGTTTACCAACTTTTTTATTCCTGGTCTTTTATTCTACTTCACTCAAGTCATTTACGCAGCAGATTTATTTGTTTTTAAAATATGCTAATTTTCTTTTTTGTATTTTTAACTATTTCTTGTTATGCAGCTAAATCTGAATAGCTTAATGGGTTCAACTGAATAACGATATAACAACATGTTGGTAAGCTGCAAATGTTTATTGATGACTTAAAATAGCTGTTTTTTTATTCAACAGCTTTGAAAACCTGTATTGCACTTTCAGTAATCAGCACATCATTTCTGGTAATTATATAGAACACTGCTAAGAGGATGTGATTTGAAAGTCTAAAAAACAGCTCATTTAGAAATCAACTTCACAAAATTTGCTGCAGACTTTAAAATGGGATTAAACGTGAGTTCATTTTAGTAAAATCACTAAATTTGCTTCTTTAATAACGTACTTATTATTATCTGGTTATTTTCAAATCGCTGTCACAACTTCTGCTTTTTCGCAGTGATTCTTAAACATTTATAAATTGCTTATCGCCTGCTGAAATAAATCACTTATATTAATGTCTTTTTAGAACTTAGCTAAATAAAAACGCCTAAAAGGTGCTAAAGTATTTATTATATTTTGCAACTCTCATTGCCTTTCTTACTTTACAAAAACCTCTTGCAAAGTTTCAGTAAAGTTTTTTTCGTTCTTTTTTGTATACTTCAAACGATTTCTGCAGCGCCAAGATGCAAATGAAAGTCAAAAGAATGATCAAGTTAGGAAACGAAACCCGTATGACAGGCGATCATTCGATCCTGAGCCATATAGGCCTAATATAATCTATCGTCATGGAATTCATCCGGACTTGCGCACAGAGTCTCGTGACAGATATCCATTTGGTCAGCAGCCGTCTAGACAAAATTCTACAGACAACGAATTCTTCCCCGATCATGTTGATGACCACAAAAATCGAATTCCATTTTGGAAAGTAGGCAACGCTTATCGTATTCACTCGCCTGACGAGGGAGAATCAGCAGAGAGAAGCACTATTATGTCGTCACTTGATGACGACGAACATCTACCAAACTCCGTTCAGCAACCAGTTGATAGTAATAAAACTACTAGAGTTTCGATGCCACCTTCAATTTCAGTTCCAAATCCCGTTGAACAGACGTTAGAGACCCCTGGCCAGATAACGCAACAACCGATAAATTTAATAAAAGACATGGTTAGTTAAATTACGTGCACTTAATAAAGTGATAAATAAAACAAAAAGTTCGAAACAGTTTTTTTGCTATAATATACGATCAAATATTGTAAATGTCAAGTTAATCAAACTTTGAAGAATTACTGTTGTTAATAGAAAGTAAAAATGTGTTTTTCTATAAAATGATTATTTATTTATTAAGCAAAACAAACAACCATTTACCAATAACCAAATGGATAGAATACCACCTGTAAATCCGGATTTCGTAATGGCGAATGATGATCGCAAAAAATATGGCTCGTAAGCTGCTAACACATTTATTATTTTCAAAAAAAGCTTAGATGTTTTAACAGATTTGTCCTTATAGCTCTAATAAAAGCTTTACAGTTTTTCTTCGTTAAAACATTGATTAAACGAAAAGCCTAAGTCAGCACTGAAAAAACCTTTGTAAAAGTGCACTATTGATATCAATATAATTCAGTTCTTGTAAAGTACTTCAAAAAATTGTCAAATGTCTCTAATGCGACTTGCAGTTGCCGGTCTTGTTAGTTCTCAGTTTTTATCAGTTGTACTTTTTCTTACGTTGTAATTTCACTAAAAAAACGTAAAAGTTCAGGAATTGTTTATTTTCAATTTATAAAGGCAATAGGCCGTTTGTGAAACGTGGCCAAAAAAAAGACGGTTATATTAATTAAAATCTAACCTTTCCCTTTCAATTGAAAGTGGCTTGAAAAATTTGTTTAGAATATTCGTTGTATTAAAAAATTTCGAAGTTTTTTGAACTTACTAAAAGACCTAGTACACAGGATGGAGGATAAATCGATTGTTTATAAAAATTTTAAAAATTTTTGCGACATAGAACAGTTTTCCTGTATTTAAATGACATAACAAACGAAACCAAGGCTGCTACCAGCAGCATAGTATAATACACTAAAATCTGAATTGTTCAAAACAATAATTTTGTCTTTTCAGGTTATACTCTCTTGAAGAAGTTCCTCTAATGAGCCGCAAAGTGATGTTATGCCGGTTTCTGTACAGTCTTTGCCGATTTCCAGCAATCGTGATGCTCTTGATTGGGCTCTGGCTTATAACCCTACGTGAGGGTATAGCTGGGTTGAAAACTTCTGAACGAATAATGGTCATATGCGAAGTGCTTACTGGATTAGTCGTTGCGCTTGGCCAGATCCTTGGTTTACACACTGGCAAGGAGCTTGAGAAACAGAAACTTCAGGTTTGCGAATAAAATTAATTTTTGGTAGCCAGAAGTAACACAGTTCTGCAAACAGCAAATTAAGGTCATAAATTTTAATTTATGTTGCTGTAGGCAAAAAAAAGTTCACAATATTCTCTCTTCTTAACAGTGATGAAAATTGTTTAACATGCAAAAAAATAAATTTTTTATTTGAAAGTAAAAAATGCTAACTTTTTTCTTACCATTTTTACCTATTTTTTATGAATTAATTTTTGTATAGCAGACTTAGTCGAAAACCTGTTATCTAATAGTTAGAATAAGTAATACTACTAAACTGGTATTTATTCAGTTCAGAAAGAAGAAATATTTTGCTATCACTATATGAATAATTAGTTATTGCAGACTCGTTTCCGCTTATACCATCTGTTTATCAACATGCTTTCTTCGGTGGTCGTCTTGGTGTCATCTACAATTGCACTACTAGAATTAAAAAATGATGAAGATACAGCGAACAACTGTAAAGGTTATACCTGTTTTTCGCGTGATCAGCGAGAAACATTTTCAGCTGTTTCACTGTGCATGTCTATTACGTTGGTTATTGTTGCCGGCTCAGCATTTGGTTACGGCTTTTTCGCGTACCGCAAATTCTACAATAAATTTGGTAGAAGAATAGGCAACTAAAAAGAACTTTACATCAGAAAAAATTGGGATTATTGCCATTTAAGATAAATCACTTGTCTTACCCCGTTTTCCTCTTAAGTTTAGAGGAAACTACAATTTTTTCACTTTTAGCTAACGGACAAAAAAATCGATCAAATCAGTCTTATTTGTTCTTCTTTGATCTTGTTAGTCGATTAAAAACAAATCTTTTATTGGCATTACAAATTACTCCTCTGTTCATGTTGTTTTTATCACTGTTTTAAAGCTAAAATTTTATCCCAATCTTGAAGTGATCAATTATTTTTGCCATTATTTTCTCTCAATTATCAAATGTTGACGTTGTAGAAATGAGTAACTATCTGATAAAAATTACTGCAAAAAGTGCTTGAAACAGTTGTATTTACTCAAAAAATTAGATGATGCAATATATTTGGCTATCTGTTCTTTTTAGTATGTTTATATGCTTCTGCATCACGACAGAAAAGATTCCAAAATTCTAAAATACATGTCTGTGGCAAAGTGTTGAGCAAACTACTAGTTTACTATAATTTATCAATAAAACCAAACTACTACTATTGCTGGCAGTGCTCTTGGCAACGTAGTCAATGCAAAATGGTTTTAGACAACTGCAACCTCACTACAAAAAATTTCTACTTTTAGGATCTGTATTTGACAGAAATTACTATCAGTTACGCTTCCTCTTTTTTTATGGTATAACAAGCAGCTTTTTTAGACTAAATTAGTTCCAGTTCTCTTTTTCAATTTTGCATTACAGCACTCTTAAAAAGCTGCAAATTTTACTGGAAACTTCAAACATTCATTCTTATAGTTTTGCTTTCCCATCGTCATCTACTTCGTCTTCTGTTTGTGACACATTCTCCTGAGAACAATGAAAGATCACTAAAAAATCTTCACTCAGAAACCACTTCTTTTACTGAAGAAAAATAATTGACATTAAAAGTTTCTAGACAGTTTAGCATTCTTCTATAAACTCTGCAAACTATGTGCTTTTTCAACAATGTTTTGCATAGAACATTTGTACAGAACTATATACTAAGTGATAAGCCAAAGAAACTTTGTACCAAATAAATTGAAAGTATTAAAAATTATTAAGAAACAGTTCGAAATAATTTTTGAATTTTGCTAGTTGTAGTTTAGTTTGAGCCAATAAAACTTTTTTATTCAACTATTTTCTTATTATTTTAATTGTGAAAACTCTTTGATCAAAGTAAAGAACTCTTTTTACAGCTTGTAAAAAAAAGAAATTACAATATTATTGGTGCTTGGAGAGTTTAGAAAGTCTCAAAGTTTTTATTGATCTTACGTTTTTTCTTTGTTTTAAGAAACTCAGCGTTTCAATTTTAATATAACAAAATATTAAGGCACAAACGAGGTAAATTCATAGCAGAAAATAGAGGAGATCTTAACTGTTAATAAAGTGATGTTCTACAGAGTAAGAATTTATTAAACAAAAGTTTTGCAGAATAAGTAAAGCCGAATAAGCTAGAAATAATTATCATTTTTTGTAATTAGCAGAAATCACCTATTTGTACAGAGTTTTATATTTACGTATGCCTGATTTATACCATGTACCTAGCAAACAGCAAAATTTAACACCGAGCCCAATTCACTGTCAAAAACAGTGAGAGTCTGACCTCCACCATTATTAATTAACTGATTGTGTAATAGATCCCTACTTAAATCTATTATTTATCCTTTAAAAAATACATACTATTGTTTTTTGCAATTTGTTAAACTAGTTGGTAAAAGGTTTATGTGGTAAGAGGTGATATTCGAATTGTTGGCATCATCAGAAGAACAGCAAACTTCTTCAGAGCTAAACACTTTTAAAAGACTGCAGGCAACATGACTTCAGTTGAAACTTTTAAACCAGCAGTTAAAAAAATATTTGTTGTTGTTAAAAACAAAGTGATTATGTTGCAAAAATACATTTTTAACTATCAGTTTTCATTAGAAAACAGTGACATAACTTCAAAATCAACTATTGAGCTGAAGCTTTAGAAGCATACGTTATTTTCTATTCTCAGCTAGTTACCTCACAATGGAAAACTGTACTCTCAAAATCAGAACGGCGGGAAGACACTTAATTACTTGCTATCTTCTTTACCCTATCTTTTTTTTAGTATTTAACAGTTTTATTACAGCGAAATAATAAAGTTATGTTCGCCTAAGTTACAGATGTTACGCAAATAACAGATGTAAAAAGTAACAGTAGAACAGTTTCCAAACTTGTATAGAGGCATTACCTTACAACATAATAAAATCATGTCTTTTCTTCTACTTAGATAAACAGTCAGTTGCAGACAGAACCTCCACTTATCAATCGTAATTGATTGAATTTTATTACTCTCTAAAATATTTGTTCACGCAAAGCATCATTATCTTATTTATAAAAACGAGTCAAGTAATTTTTGCCAATCTCAGCATTAAATTTTTTTTACAGTTTATAATATAGCCTCAAAAATTTACCAGCATTTTAAAAATCAGAACGGTACTATTACAGCAGCAAATTTCACTGCTACTTAGAAAATTATTGAAGGTCATTGAAATTTATCAACACTGATGTCGACTTTAAATGATCCTTAGAAAAGCAAAGAAAATGTTTTTGCAAGACAGGAAGAGATAGATTCACGCTGAATCATCAAATATTGTCAAAAGCCTATGCCTTCTGAGTAGTATGAAAGCTTTCTAAGAAAAAAATCATTTTAAAAAGCCGATTACAGTTTAAAAAATCTGTATGTAAACCTGTTAGTCAGAAACTGTTAACAAGTTGCTTTCTATTTAAATATCTTTTTTTTAATTAGTAAAAACGATTGGTACATATTTTGTTGTGCCAAAACGTAATAGATGTTTCAGGAAATTCTTTAACTTTCTAAATTTTTTCTTAAACTTAGTAAACCTTCTATTGCACACAACTTTGAATTAGTTGTATATCAAAAGAATCTGGCTGATTACACACTGTTCTATAAAGGAGTGAAGACATTTTTATAAAGCTTCTTTAAAGTGCTTTAGATGTTCTGAATTTTGTTTAATAAGTTCTACACATTTT